GAAATCTGAAATTGGCAGGAACGTTTAACTTGAGGGAGAGTGGCTAAAGGTGATGCTATGCTACAGAGTGTCTACAACAAGTTTGTGAAAGATTTCTATGCCTGGAGAAAGAACTGGAGCTTTATTTATAAGCAGTGGGGAGGCGAGGAGAGCTTTCGGGCAGGGAATGGCATGCTAACTTTAAAAGATGTTTCTCAGGGCAGCGTGAGAATGGACCTCAGTGTGCTAAGGAGTCGTGGGTGGGGTAGACAGAAGAGCAGGTGGTGAATGGTAATGTCTCAGACAGTGTCGACTTAGCTCCAGTCTCCTTCAGGAAGAGCCAGTGCAGGGCTGCCACGAGCCTGCAATGTCTTCCCACAATGTAGGAAGAGGCTCCCCTGCCTCCCAGCAGCTTAGTTCCAAGCTCCGGCACATGCTGGACTCGGCAGGCAGAGAACAGACTCAGTCTTAGCCTCCCTCTGTCCTCTTGGTTGTGGGACCTGCACGCCTCAGGCATGACTTGAACTGAAGCTTCTCCTAAGCTCATCGATGGGGAGAAGGGGTGCCAGGGCCAAAGGTAAGGTGCGTGCGTGGCATGGCCACCCTTTGGCAAAAGAAGACTGTTGAGTATGACCCCTAAAGGTACGCACTTCGTGAAACCCACAAACATGGTTTCATGACCCTGAGCAAGGGATGTAATTTCTGTAAGCCTCAGTTTGCTCCTTTGCTAAGTGGAGATGGTCACAGTACCTACCTAGTTGGGTGGCTGTGAGAATTAAATGAGGTAATAATGCATGCTAAGGCCTTGACTCGGTAAGCACGCAATACACACTGGCTGTATGTTAGCTGTTAGTGTTCCTACTATCCCAACATGAGCAAGAGCCCTGGGAATGGTCTTGGCTATACATGCCCTTGAATTAGCTGTCCCCTGTCCCTTATGCCTTGCCTCCCCCCGACCTCAGTAGGAGGAAGATTGGCATCCAGAGACAGATGGCAGTGATGGGAACTGGTTACGTCACAGCATTCCAGAGGCTGGCTCTGCACTTCATCATAGCAGACAACGTGGTCCTAGGGCAGGGTCACCGGAGGAAGCCCGAAGAGCAGGTTTCATATAGAAAGCAGGCTTTCTCTCCTCCTCCATGCAGCCCTATTTCTTTTCTGTATGTACCGCCTGTCCTCAGTCTGCTCTTCCTTTCCTAATCCATCCCACTACCCATCTCTCAGCTGCTCGCCCTCCCCTGCCCTCTCCCTGCAAGGGACGGGTTTTTGCTCAAGGATGTCTTTTTCTCTGGATGTCTCTGGACAGTGGCAGAAGTGAAGCAGCCCTCTTGACGTAGAAATACTCAGCACAGGTGGCCTTGTTGGCTGGGCCATGTGGGGTAGGTTTTCTGGGGAGTGGCGATGCCCTGGCCAGTTGCTGGGCAGCTGGGACAGAGGGCAGAAGGTCCAAGGAGCAGCTGAAGGGACTGTGGTCCCCAGTCTGTGTAGGGAGAGAGCAAGCTGGGGGTGAAGGATGAGGCCGCTGCCAGTGGGGCATGGCAAGAGATCAGCTGGGGATGATTTTGGTGGCATAAGCACAGGACATGGTAATAGGATGTGAGAAGACAGGGTACCACAAGCAGCAGCGACCTTGGAAACTGCCAGTGAGGCAGATCCCGGTCTCCACCTCTTCTAAGAGGCCTTCCTTAAAAGCCCTACAATCATATCCTTAGCAGCCTCTACTGCTACTGTCTCTTTCCTCACCCTGCTTTGTTTTTCTACATAGCACTGAGCAAAACTTGAAATTAAATACTGTTTATCTATTTGTTGCCAGGTACTGCTCTTCTCTAGACTTTATCTCATCTGCTGCTCTATTTTCAGCATCTAATAGAACAGTGCCTGGCATACATACATACATACATACATATTTATTGTATGTAAGAATGAATGCTCACCGTCATTATTCAGAGAAGAATCATTACTCACTTACCTGTGGTTGAACAGCCACCGAGTCCCTGCCACACTCCAGGGTTGAGTCAGTTACCCTCTGTCTAGCAGGGTGCCACAGTGCTCCCTTTCTCTTTGGGGGTTGCTGCACAGTCTTGGATCTGAAATGACATTGCAAAGCTTCTCTTCTGATATCGCTGGAGCCATGTAGCTGGGAAGGGATGTTGTGCCTTGCCCCTTGTCCTTGTCCACTATAGGTTAACACCAAGGGTGAGGGCCATAGTCTGGTGGGGGGGGGGGAGTTAAAACATCCTTCCTAGATGTCACCGGGAGGTCTGTGTAGGTCAGTTGGAAATTGTGCTCATAAACTGGGAAAAGGGAACCCCTCAGAAGGTTTTTAGAGGTTAGAAGTCGACTCCACTTCTATGGTATAGGAGCAGGGCCAATTTTTCTATAGTGTAATAGAGAAGTACTATCAGGACTGGGACCACTCCTAAAGGTGGGAAGATCTCAATCCAAACAGTCCATCCAAAGACAGCATGTCTGGAGGCTGGGTCCAGTGCTGCATGGCCAGAACTCCAAATACAAAGCCAAAGAAGGCACCATTGCTTTTCTGGCTGTAGAAAGTGTATTCCTACTAAGCATCTACCTCCATGTGAAGAAGAGAATAAAGTCTCACTGGGTATCTGTGAACCTGATTACAAGGTACCTGGGTGAAAATTGAAAAAATGCTCATAATTCCAGATGTTGCACAGGCATAAAACCAAGTATCCATGTAATTACACGTCTTACTTGGCAACCAGAGATTTGGTGTGCTGCAGACTCATAGCTCATAACAGTCTATATGTGAGTGTATATGTATGTATATATTCTGTTTATTATGGAGTTTTAAAGTTATTCATGTGTTCTGCTTATAGACAGTTTCACATTTTTACAGGCTTTAGTAGACAACATTCTTCATATCCCAAGGTTGGTCCAGGACTTAATTTTTTTTCTTGTTTGCAGGTGTCATGTCTTAAATCGATGTCCTAATCAGATGTTTGAGTGCTGCAGTATACACCTTTTTCTTAACAAGTGCCATGAGGACTGAGTGTCATCATCTTGGGGTCTTCTTACTACCAGTAAGTAGCCATGTGAGTTAGTGCAGGGCATTCAACCTCCCTGGGCCTCAATTTCCTAAATTCTTTTTAGGCCAAAAGAATCCATGATTCAAGTAATATTTTTATATAAACACTGTAATTTACTTCTCATTCAGACACACGTGATTTATGTCACCATCATATGTGGAACAGCTATAACAGACTGATCAGGATCCAAATTTAGGAAAGCATCAAGTATCTGAACACACAAATATCTTAAGATTTGGTGGGGGGGGAGGGAGGTTGTGATTTTTTTTTTTAACTATTTCCTTTTTAAGGACTGTGTCCATCAAGATATTTCATGCTCAACAAGTATGTTTATTATTTTTAGACAGTATGCTTTAAGTAAAGGAGAGGACTTTATTTGATACCTTTATTTATATGCAAAACAGCGTACCATTCATGAGATATGAAAAACTTGTCAGATAGAAACCAGATTATATCTATTTTCACTACAAAATATTGCATTATATAAAGCAACAGAGACACAAAAAAACCCTGAAAAAGACTAAAATCTTTGGATAGCAGATGCAGTTTTTTTTTTTTTTCCCTTGTCTCTAAAATACACTCCTTGTTTTAAGAGTTTCACAGCTGAGAACATGAAACATTTTCAGGTTATAGACTTTTCTTTTTGGTTGTCACAGAGGAAAGTAGTTTTGAAATTTTTTTAGGAAAATAACTTAATTCCCTAAAATCATCCCACGCACAAACAGCACACACACACACACACACACACACACACACACACAGAAGCTACTCTCCTTATAAACAGCTTGTAAAGTACTTTTCAGACATAACTACAGATAAGAATAACAACACTTACTTTTTTTTAAAAAACTATAATAGTGAAGTGCTAGTGTTGCTGATCTCACAACAAAAGAACCTTTCAAGAACAAACATCTTAATATATAAAATATGTTTAGAAACAGGGAGAAGTGGGAAATTTGTTATACAAGTGCAATATAATTAGAGCAAAAAGAAAGACCACAGTATAATCTCAACAAACACGTAAAAAGTTAGACATAATTATTCCACAGGAGAAAGTGTAAACACTTGACTATAAATAAATTGGCACAGAGTATCCAAAGTAAAATTATCACCACTCTGAAAAATAATTGTCTTGAAAAAAATACTCTACTCCTTCTAACATAAATAAAAATAGGTTGTCTTTTTCTAACTGCACCTATGGGTCCACATGTTTAAGGTCACAAATAGATGTTTTTGGATATATAAAGGGGCACTTTGCCTGAAAAAGCAATCAGATATTAAAATTTCCATTTAAATATGGATTCTCTTGTCTACATCAGTGTCATACCTTGGGGTTAAAATCTCACCCAGCTCAAATCTTCCCACAGTGTGTCTATTCTCAATATATCTTTTGAGTTTACCAATATTGAGGGTGTGTCTGTTTTATCTGGATTCCAATATAACTTCCTTTTCACAGCAGAACGGAAATTTTCCTGTTCCACCTTTCCGTGCCTTAAATCTCTTACACTGGAGGACAGTCCTTCCCAAAGCCTCCAAATGTTAGGTGATTTGTCAATTTGAAAAATCCCAGATAGTCTAAAGTTAAGGAGTCTTTACTCTGAGCTTCTGCCCTCATCCTTTCAAAACATGAAGATCTGTGGGAGATAAATGTAGGAGAACTCAAAAGTCTCCACTGAGCTAAAGCAACCACGCTTAAAGGGATCCTAACACACGGAGGGGAGGCCTGGAGGCGGTGCGTCTCGGGTGCCTCCAGGAGGCACGCCTGGCCGGGAAAATGCCCCCCCTGCAAACCCCAGACTCGCCAGACAACCCCACCTTCCCGAGTTGGAAACCCCTTGTCTCCCTGCTGACCGGAGAGAACTCGAACGCGTGGCGAGCTTCCTTCCGCGTCCTGGCCTCTCCGGGCGGCCGTCAGCCTGGGCCGCCGCCTCGTCCGCCAGCCCACCGCGGCCGCCCGGGTTCGTGGCGCTGCCCCAGCTTCCGGACCGGCGGCCTCCCGCCGCGCCCCAGGCTCTACACGTCCAGGACGTGGTTGAGATAGGAGATGTAGCAGATGGCCAGGCGCAGGATCTCGATCTTGGAGAGCTTCTTGTCCGGGGGCAGCGTGGGCAGCAGTTTGCGGAGCTCGGCGAAGGCCAAGTTGAAGGCCTCCACGCGGATGCGCTCGCGGGTGGCGTGAGCCGAGCGGTACTTGGCGGTGGCGCGCCGGCGGCGGCGCTTCTCCTCTCGGCTCAGCTGTGGCGGGTGCGGGTAGAGCGCGGCCCGGCTGCCGCCCTTGCCGTCGCCCTCGGCCTCCTCTACGGGCTCCAGGTCCGACACGCTGCCCAGCACCTTGGCGTCCGCGCCGCCCAAAGATTCCGGGTCCGAGTGCGCCGAGCTGGGGTGGTCCGAGTCGGCGGCCTGGTCCGGACTCAGCATCATTTTGGAGGCTGAGGGGGGGGAGTCAGAAAATCAATCAATAAAAGGAAGCAGGGTCTTCTTTGGATCCGAGAGAGAGCAGGCGAGGGCCTACCAGGTCGGCCCTAGGCGCATCCCGGGTCCCCTCCCCACCCTAGGCGGGCGCGCTCCGCGGAACTGGCCCCCCGGGGAAGGGAGCGAGCCGAGAGGGGCAGGCCCGGGGACCGGAGCCCCGAGCCTCCCCACGGGGCCGGGGCCGGGGCCAGCGAGGTCCCGGCAGGGCCCCGGCCGCATCCCGGACCTGACTTCTCGGCCTGCGAGAGACGGAGAGCGGTCTGTGGGCCTGGTCCCCCGGGGAGAGGGCAGGCCCAGGAGGCTGCGACCGCGTTCCGTGCCTCCTCCGGCCAAATAACGACTCCGCGAGGCCGTCTGCCTCACTTTCCCTTCCCTGACAAACGAATGATTGCGAACCGCTAGCACTTCTGGGGTTTACGTGGGGTGGGGAGACGCCGACGGCGCTCCTGCCCCGAGGGCCTTAGACCCAGCAGCCCGAGGCAGCGGCGCCTGTGGCCCTCACGCTAGTTTGGGGCGTGCGGGGCGGCCACGGCTGCGGAGGGCGCCCAGCGCGGGAGATGCGCCCCGGTCCCGAGTGCGGACGGCAGACAAGGCGGTCCGGAGCCGGAGGCTTCTCCGAAAAAACAAAGCAATGACTGAACAAACGCGAAGGCTCCTTTCTACAGAAAATTGACCCTTATGCCCTCGCGGCTCCCCGAAGCACCATCTGTCACGCAGACAGCCACACACATCGGGGACCTAGGGGAACGGCGACGGGGGGGTGAGACAATGCGCCCGGCGGTCGGCAGACCACCTCGCGGCGGCCGGATCGCGGCGGGAGGGGAAGCTGGGAGGGAAGGGAAGACAGGGGGCGGGAGGAGACGCCTCGAGCGTCCCCTCCGGGAGCAAAGTCCAGTGCTTAGGCGCCCGGAGTCGAGAACCCGCAGCGGTGCCGCGGCGGCCTGGCCAAGACCGAGCTGGTTAGTGCTCAGCTCTCCTGTATCGACGCCCTCCTGGAAGACCGCCTCGCCGGGCTCCTCGGAAAGCCTGGAGCTTCGGCCCCGACCGCGCGCCTTCTGGCGGCGGGGGTCGTGGGGGGGCACAACCGCGGGGCTTGGGGGGATTCGGCCTCGAAGAAAAGGGCCAGTAGTAGGGGCCCGCACCCGCGGGTGCCGCGCGCACCGACCGCAGGCGCCGGGGGAGGACCAGGCCGTGGGGCCGCGAGTGCAGCCCGAGCGACGCTCGCCGGGGGAGAAATCCGCGGCGGCGACTAGTAGGAGGGCTTGCTCCTGGAGAAACAAAAGCCAGGGATGTGTGATCTGCTCCTAGCACCGCACTTGCCTAGGAGCGAATTTGTCTACAAGCTGGCTTTCATTGCGCTGCAAGGAAAGCAGGTCCTCTAAGGCAAAATAAAAACAAATGCTCCAAGTGAACTACATGTGACTCCCTACGGGCTTTTCACAGATACGTTTACGAAGTAGAACAACTTGCATTTGCACATTCGGCTTGAAAGGGCATAAATAAATTGGCGAGTAATGGAAAATCACAATAAGCAACAACATAGTTGTAGTTCGGTTAAAAAGTTCCTGGGTTGCCCTCAAAGCATGTTAAATTCTCCTTCAGATATCTTTTTTAAATATTCATAAATAGCGTGTCGTGCCTACATTTTATTTATTTAACAATGAGCTGAAATACATCCGTAAATGCAATATGAATAACTTAGTTCCAAGGTGGAAAAAAGAAGACTTACCTTGTGAAAGCCTTTTCGGTAATCTTTTCTCCAATCTTTTAGAGTTACAAATTCCAAAGAATAGAGGGGAGAAATTCCGAAATATATTAAAAGCAGCAAATATTTATTACATTCGAATATGAAAAAGCAGCTGTCATCTCGCTGGTGTCCACAGCGAGGGTAGATAATATCTCAGGATGTGGACGATATAAATGACTGTTCACTTAGTTGATAGACCAAAAACGCCTTTTCCTTTTAATTGTTCTCAAACATTTCGGGAAATTCGTGTTGATTTTTTTTAAGTGAGGTGTTGAAAAGTCTTGTGCCTTTTTTCCTCTTCTAGGTCTCTATAAATAACAAAAGAGATGCAGAGATAAACACAATCACATCAAAGGGCTGATTCCTCCACTTTCTAATAGCGGAAGAATCAATAAGAAAGATGGTTAAGATAAGATCCCAGCTCCAGTAGGACTCCTTTCCTTCCCTTAATACGGTTGAGCAGAAACTGGGAAGTGCAAGGCAGAGATGCGATCTTCCTCAGAAGTGATTTTTTTTTTTTTTTTTTTTTTTTTGAGATAAGGCTTTGTTCAGCTGATGTCTCCCCAGTTCCCAGGAACACAATACTGTAACTCGGGGCTAAGCTTGCCTCTTCCTCTTTCCTCATTTACTTGTAGGTTGTATAAACAGACACCTATTTGCAGTTTCAAAGTCTTTCAAGGCTTGCTTACATCTCCCACCCCACCCCCTCCTTTCTTTACCTTACAGCAAAATATGTATAGTCTGGCTTGGAGACGCTTGGAGAAGGTTGGTGGAAAGTGAACGTCTCCCGGAGTAACAGTGACAGGGAAGCGGAGAAAGACGGGAGAGGGTGGGAAAGCCAGAGCAAAGAGGCAGAGATGCGTGTGTGGCTTCTTGGCTCTCCTGGTACCAATTGATTCAGCCTGGAGATGGTGGAAGAGATAAAGGCTTAAGAAGGGGGATGGAATTTTTTTTCCCTAAATTGATATTTAATGGGAAATCCTATTGGACAGAAACCTGGACATGAGTCACTTAATTGGACTTGACATCTGTCACAGTGTGGGAGTTTTCACAGCCCAAATATTTTAGCAGATCAGATTCCCACTGAATCTGTGCCATAAAATATAACAGTTGAAAGCAGTCCATGATAGAAACCTTAGCCTCTAAACAGAGTCTCTAGCCATTATCAGACTATTTCTCTTTTTCAGATTATTGATGCAGTATTTAAGGGCAAATAAACAACATATTGACTATGGAAAAATTCTCCTCACATTCTAGAAAAACAGTATCTTCTCTTAATGTTAAGGAAAATATTTGTGTCCAGCACATGAAAATATATACTATATAGTAAATATATTCTGATATGCAACAGCTAACATTTATTAATGATCATTGATTTTTGTGATCATTTACATTTTAAAAGACACTTGAACAAGACTTGATTGAACATATTCGTATTTTTAAAATATATCCTGCCACTGGATTAATTTTCCAATATATGATTTAAAAAACAACAACAACAACAACAACAACAACAACAAAAAACCCTTTTCAATAGATTAAGTCATTGGTGGGACTGGGAAGAGAAACCAGGAATTGTAATTTCAGAGAGCACTGTACCACGAGACCATCCTACTTTTCTAAATATGTTTGTTTTTCTTTCTGCCCATTCATTCATTCAAGTTAAAATTACATGTGTTGATTATTGTGCTTCATTTTGGCTTATTTTACCATCTGAATATTTAGCTGTGAGGCAGTGCATTGGGCCGGGTGTAAACCCACACAAATCTCCAGTGTATTGCAGTACATTATGCCTTTGCCTTACATGACCCCGTGGCCCTGAATTTATATGCCTTCTAACAAAAGGGAAAATCTAGTTCAATTACTTTGCCACTTTATGATACTGTTACAGAGATACTGTTAGTCTCCACCGACTATGTATTATTTGCAATCATTTTAGCTTTTTTGATTGTGTAAGCTTAAAAGAAATAAAAGAATATTGTCGCCTTATTCCCCACCTCAGTAACTCCTGGGGGAACGTTTGTGGAGAGAGGAGTCCTTATTTTTCCTTCTTTTTCAATTTTGCTCTAAAAACAGGTTTTATCATCAGGGGAGAAGATTGATCAGCCCACCCCGGGGAGTGACCCTCATGGCTACTACCAGTCCTGTTTGCTTTTGCACACATTTTTCAGCTTATGGGAGATGCCTGGCCAGGAATGGGGTGGAGGTGAGGGAAGAATAGGAAGTGTCTCCAAGGAAAATGGGCACCAACACTTTCCAGACTTGCCCCTGCTCAACCCCAGCACAGAAGTACATTTTAGATATCCCCAGGACACTTATGTGGAGGCAAAAGCCAGCCCCATTTAGGTGGCAGTGGAAACAGGTGAGTGGGTGAACTCCCCAAGGTGGTGAAGATGAAGGGAAAAAGGAGATTTCCCCAGTCTGCCCAAGAGCAGCAACGCTAAGCATTCAACATAGCCAGAAGTGTACACAGATGTGCATCCACGGATAACTGTTCTTTCCACCCCACCCCTACTCACATAAGCTAGCTGGCTCTATTAGACTGCTGCACATTCAGATTGACAGAATGAGAAACCCGATGAGTCTAATCACCACAGCTCCTGAGACAATTACTGCAGTGGGAAGCCACTGGTATCTCTGGTTACCAGTGGTACCAGGTACCCGTTGTTGGGGGAAGAAGGAAAAGAGGGAAGGTAGCAGGGCAGGTCAGATTCTGCCAAGGTATGTGTGGATCCAGACACATTCTTCTTTATATTCAGGCTCACTGATTCCACACTGACAGAACTGCTTGTACATACATTAATCTGTGAGCAAGCCCTTGTAAACAGGTACACACTCAGACCCATACCTAGCCATGGCTGGACACACGGTCATGGTCACAGACACGGATTCACACTCACACACATGCATTCTGTCTTCCAGGAAAGACTCCCCCCTCCCCCCCACCCCGTTGCCACCTTTGCCTTTTCTAAGACCTCCCCGGCACAGATGGTCCCTCCTTCTGTGCTTCATAAACACTTTTTTTCCTATCCCCCTTAGAGATTACATATTGTATACAGTGATTCTCTCTTTCCATACCTGTGTTTCCCACTAGGCTGTGACGCTTTCAGGGCAGGTCCGGAGCTCACAGCCTCAGCACGGATGTCTGAGTTTGACACATTGTAAGTACTCGTAGGTTTATGATGAATGACTCCCTGTGTACAGAGGCAGCCAGGATGTTTGTGACACAGAAACACTTCTACTGAAACACTCCCATGGTTTCAGTGGTACCAGTTTCCTCTCCTATAAAAGTGAGGATAATGATCCTGCCCTACTCACTTTATAGGCTGGTTATGAGACTCACTGTCTGTGAAAGTTTATCTTATAGAATAGCAAGCATCATACAAATGAAGATATTAGGGAGTATTAGAAGTAATACTCAGTAATATTAAACCAGTGGGGAGGTGACAAGCAGTGATTTAAAATCCAGACTGGGGAGCCTGGGTGACTCAGTCAGTTAAGTATCTGACTCTTGGTTTCTGCTGGGGTCATGATCTCAGGTACATGGGATCAAGTCTCATGTTGGGCTCCCTGCTCAGCTCAGAATCTGCTTGAGAGACTGCGACTCTGGCTCCCTCTCTCTCTGCACCCGCCAAATAAATAAATAAATAAATAAAATCTTAAAAAAAAAAAAAAAAAAGGCCAGACTTCCTGGATCTATCATATGTTGGCTATGGTGAACTTAAGGGAGTTACTTTACTTTTCTGGACCTCAGTTCTCCATCTATAAAATGGGAATAAGGAAAGTGTTTTATATTGTTATGTCGTCTTTTTTCTAAAGATGAACAAAGATAATCTGTGTAAAGTACTTAAATGAGTGCCCAGAACTCAAAAGACATATGTATGGTAAACCAGAAATGTAAAATAAAATGACATGAAATATAAACATATCAGTATACTCACCCCAATTGTGTGTGTATTTGTATGTGTGTGTTTGGCAACTAACCTGCAGTGAGCACTTTCCATATGTCAGACATAGGTCTAGGGACTTTACACATATTAACTCATTTTATCTTCACCACAAAGCAATGAGATGGGTACTGCTGTTGTCCTGATTAGGCATATAGGGAAGCTGGGCGACAGAAGATGATCTGTTCAAGGTTAGCTAGCTAATAAATTATGGAGCCAAGATTTAGACTCAGGTAGTTTAAATTCAGAAACTGCCACCACTGAGCACTACTGCTTCTGTGGTCATGGTGTCTTACACACATATACTCAGGCAGAGGGATTAGTTACCAAATGATATGCATATTCTAAGGGAGAAATACATACATACACAAAAGACATAGAAACTACCACATTTTTGCATTCAGAGGTGGTCACTGAGCAAATAGTTTTAAATATTTACTGTGCATCTAGCATTGTACCAGACAGTATGGGACTACAAAGGCTTTATAATTATTTGTTAATTTTACTAGACAGCTGTTTCCAATCTATTCTTAAATTTTGCACCCCATCAGTAAAAATTTTGATAATACACATCCAGTATTTGTATGTTTATTATTAACAAACTCTGTACGTGGACTGCTATACAAACATATTCTATAATTACAAAGCATAAACAAAACATTTTTAAAGAATGCTAAACACAAAATTAATAATCTTTGTTAAAATTTTTTATTTACTGTTATTGTTATTAAATACAAAAGCCTATTAACAGCACAAGATAATATATGGTTTTTGGAAGTAATAAGCTTCATTTTATTATAATCATTGCTTAACCCTTTGTGATAATATGATCTGATGGTCTGATTTTTAAGCTCAATTTACTTAGAATCTGGTTTTTATGGCTATTATAGCAGAAAGAGGTGTAATACAAAAATCCAAAGATCCAAATCGTAGTTCATCATTAATTATTAACTAAATTATTATACTAATTTTTGTCTTATCTACCAAATATGCCAAAGTTTTCTTGGAAGTTGGCTAGCAAATTTCCTTCTAATGGGAATTTTTTGTTTTTTTTTAACAAATGAGTTCAGAAGCCCTGAAACTCTTTACTTGTAAATTTTGTAAATTTGTAAAATTTGTTAATGTAAAACAGTTTACATTTTTCTATTTCTAAGTATTTTAAGTGTTCACATTAAGAGATTTTGACATATGGGCACGTTTCCATTACTTCGGGCAGCAAAAATCACATAACAATAGAAAATTTTCCAAATCTCTATATTTTTTATTTATTTATTTTTAAGAGAGAGAGAGTGTTGTGGGGGGAAGAGCAGAAGGAGAAAAAGAGAGACTCTTTAAGCAGGCTCCACATCCAGCGTGGAGCTCTAGCTCACAACCCTGAGATGATGACCTGAGCTGACACAGAGTCAGATGCTTAACTGACTGAGCCACCCAGATGCCTCCCAAACATCTCTCTATAAAATGTCTTTTCTATAGCACTAATTTCCTTTTTAAAAATTACCATTTAACTCTTTAAAAAAATACATATTTAAAGAGAGACATTCAGGGTGTTTTGTGTGTTTTTAATCGCTGTTAGCATCCTACTGACGCCCATTAGTCATGAGAGAAAAATAAATTTGGAGCACTTAAAATTGAACAATGTTCTTCAAGAGATTCTTTAAGAGCTTTGCTACATACTAACTAATTCTTTGTGGGCCAGAAGACTTTCATGGTCTTGTCCAGTTTCATCTATTGTAAAGATTCTACCATATATTTTTTAAAGATTTTATTCATTTATTTGAGAGAGAGATAGTGAGAGAGAGCATGAGAGGGGAGAAGGTCAGGGGGAGAAGCGGACTCCCTGTGGAGCTGGGAGCCCAGTGTAGGACTCAATCCCGGGACTCCCGGATCATGACCTGAGCCAAAGGCAGTTGCCTAACCAACCGA